GAGCAGGTGATGCCTTGGAGGCACAGGCAGCAAACTCCCCCGCTTCGGGAGGCCTGGGTCAGGAAGAGGGATGGGGGAGTTGGTAGACTGGGAGTAGGAAGCAGCTGAGGTTGAGTTTGGAAGTTGAGGGGCAGGCAGGAGGCCGTGCTGACTTTGGGGTGGCTTTAGGGCTGCGCTGGAGACCCACTCTGAGGACCCTAACATTTCATGTCCCCAACACCCCCGGGGTGCAGACCAGGCTAACAAGGCATGGACAGAAGCTGTTTCCCACGTCAGTGCCCGTCACTGTGGCAGAATTTTGCTCTGCATTGTTCTAGGCCTTCCCTGCCCAGGCACTGTCCATAGAGAAATGAGTACAGAATGAGTACCCACCTTCCACGCTCATTCAGGATCCCAGAAAGCCCAGGGAAAGCTCTCTCCCAGGCGGGGCTCAGGTGTTGCTGTGGCCTTGATCCCCAGGGTCAGGTCACCCTCTAACTGCAGAGGCAGAGACTCCAGGGGGCTTCAAGCATTCTCTTAGCAGGAGCTCTAAGCACTTCCTGACTCCCTAACCCTGTCCCCCTTGCCTCCGGGAACAAATAGAGACGGCGAACCTGGGGCAGGGTGTGACAATGCTCCCAGCTTCTGAACCATTTCCTGTGTCCACACGGTCGTGGCCTGGGGGCACCTCCTGAGGAAAAGGGAGGATCTGGCCTAGGGGGGTTGACGTGTTGTGCCTGCGTCAGGCCCAAGACGGAGGACCAAGCCATTGCTCCAGGGAAGTCTCTCCGCCAACTTAGGAGGGGCTGTGGAGGAGGGCACTGGAGCTAAGTCCTTAAGCTCTTTAGGCAGGGACTCATCTAGAGACCTAGCTCATCTGGCTCTGTTGATTGGGATGGAAGGGGGTGGGATGTGATAAACCAATCCAGGGAATCCGGATCTTCTCCTGGCAATGGCAGCACCCCGACTACACACACACACACATCCCAACTGGGTGCTGTTTCAGCACCAGACAATGATACCCTGGAGTGGGGCATTAGGGTTAGAAGGGAGTCGGGCTTAGAAGTGGAGTGATGGCATGAGCGAAAATAGGAAGGGCAGAAGTGCGGGATGACCCAGTTCCTCATCAGTATCCTTGTCTCAGGACTCACCCAATTCCATCCAAAGAGTCCCCTCCTGGTCCCAGGTTTCACTCACCAAGGACACCCAGTCCCAGGAACAAAAGCCGCAGCAGGTTGGCATCCGGAGAGCCCAGTGGAGAACTCATGGCCTGCCCTGGCCTCATCCGAATCAGGGGCGTCAGCTCCCGGACACACGTCCTACAGGTGTGGAGGATGCGTAACTGGCGGACACGCACCAGAGCCGGGCTCTTGGCACGGGCGGATGCAGCCCAAGCCTGCGCGCGTGTCTGTGCCGGTGGGGTGGGGTGGGGACCGACGGCGACAGCGGGGCGGGGCATTCGAGGGGGCGGAGAGGTCGCCGTCCTCCCGGGCGGGCGGAGGGAGGCAGTGACCCGCCGCGGGGGGAAGGGTCACCCCCAGTGCCGGGAATGCGGGACTCCAGGCCTCCACAGGGCCGCCTGGGGCGCAGTCGGGGACAGCTAGTTGGGCTGCCCCGCGAGGGGGCTCAGATCTAAAGTTCCGCGCCACGACCGCCCTTTCCGCCGGTGTGGGGTGGAGAGGGTGATCAGGAAGGGCGGGAGGCTGGGACTTTCCGAAGTCCGAGAGCCACCGCACCCCTCACACTACAAAAGACCCCCTAGCTCCGGTGGGAGAAGCAGATTCAAATAACCCGTGTGGGGGTCGCCGCGGCCTCAACCGAACTAGAGCGGCCTTCCTCAAAGAGGGGAGGACAGTCTGTGGTTCCAAAGGCCACTGGGACGGAGTATGTGGTTTTTCCAACGGCAGGTGCGGGCTGCGCCAGAGCGCGCCAGACGCCAGGGACTCGGTGTATGGACGCTGCTCTGGGCAGACTTAGGGGATGAGCGAGAGCCTCACAAAGTTGCTGCAGACTCCCTAAAACCCTGGCTTGGAGTCTGCCCCAGTATTGTGTCCTGAGCAGGGATATGTGTGCAGTATAGTCCCTGGAGTGAGCGGGAGACAGGTGACAGGAGACCCATTTCCAGCCCCTTCTCACCCCAGAATTGGCAAGGGATGAAGTGGCTGCGGGGTGCCAGACCTGACAAATTTTCGTTTCTTCTTTATCCCCGAGAGTTTCGCTGTCTCCCATCCCTACAGTGCGCGGCTCAGGCCCCGCGTTGATCCTTTAATTCTCGGGACCAGATCTTGTTCGGTGGGAATTTAATTTGGCAGCCCCTCCTCTCACCCCCGCTATTCGGCCAAAAGGCACCTGTGCGCCCTCTGCCGGCCGCGGCTCTCTCGCAGAAAGCCACACACCTGTTCTTGTTTCTCTCAGAGCTCCCGCAGGGAGATGATTCCAAACTGCGGGCAGGCGCACAGTTCAGCCACTGGAGGGCAGAAGACAGAAGACGGAATTCTTGGAGCTATTGGCTCTGGGAGGTGAAGCTTCCTGGGAAGAAAACTAGCTAAGCCTACTGGATTCCATGCACTCCTACATGGTTCAGCTGTGCCAACACCAAGTGTGATCCTTGCGCCCACACTAGACAAGGTTTCTACATACAATGCTCCGCAAATAAGCTCGGCGTTCCTTCCTAGTTTGACCTCCCCTTCAAATACCTCCCATGCAGTGTGTTTGAGAAATGCCTGTGCAAACACTAGACACTGCATACCACCCTTGGAATCCAATACTTGCCAGTGTCACACCTTTAGGCAGAGGCCTAGCAGCTTCCAGTGGTCAAGACGGGGGAGATGGGAGGCGTTATAGACTTGACTTTCTCATATTCTATCACACTCAAAATGTCCTTGGCTTCAGTGTACATTGGCAGACAACCTCTTGTAATCATTCCTCCGATTCCAGACAACGCTTAAATCATCCCCAGTAAGTAACCCTATCCCCCAAAAGGCACTACTGGCTGAAACCCAGGAACACCAAAGCATCTAACCCCACAGGCTGTGCGCATCCTCCTTAAAGGCTACACAAGGGATGGCTTCTACAGCCACTCCCTGCAGATCACTTCTTCAGAATTCAGACTGCAGGCTAACTTGCCACATGGGCAGTAAAGGAGCAGTGAGTGGCAGCCCCACCCAAGAATCGTCCTTCCTGCCCATTCCGACGACTGACTTCCGTCTTTGGACACTGAGGCAGTCAAGTGGTTCTATGCTCAGCATAGCGTCTACATCACTTTTCTGAAAGTTTTCACTGGGACATATTGTTGCTCATTGGTCTCCTGGTCTGAAATGACAATGTGGGCATAGATGATCTGTGTGTGACTCAGGAGCTACTTACGCATACAAGTTATACCAAGAACTAAGTTCATAGCTTCATGTTAGACACAGCAGTCATTACCATTTCTTCCAGTTGCACCTCTCCTTACATCTCCGAAGTGTTTCCTAACACTGGTTCTTACATTTGAATATCGTCTTCATTTTCTACGAGTTAGTTTATAAGGCTTCATTATATGCCTAAAATCTGTTTGCTGCTTATAGCAATACTGTTATCTGACATCTTTCTTCTTTTCTAGATTGTTCCAGCTGATACATTCACTATCAACATGTGACTTTGCCTCCACTACCCAAAGCTCTGCACTGTCCTCTTGGCTCCCCTCCTTGCCTTCTCGTCCCAAGCTGAAGCACAGAAGCACACCCTGGGGCCAGTCTTGGCTGTCTTCCTGTTGCTCATAGTGGTCTAGCAATGCCCTTCCTAAGTTAACATTAGGGAGGCCTGAAATAGCCTCAAGCAACTGTTTCCAAAATGTCCTGCACCAGCCAAGGAACTAACAGCAGGACAAAACACAAAGTGTGGGCTTGGAGTGCATGAAGCATTGTTAGTAGTTTCGGGATCAGTTGGTGGCAGTTTCGGTAAGGATGCTTTTCCCTTCAGCATTTAGTACTGGTACTGTGCAACTGCTACACGATGGCCAATGTACCTCAGCCTTTGGGACTATAATTCCTCATTCTCCAGAAAAGCAGACTCCTGAGTATTCCACAGTGCTCCTGGATAGGCTGCACCCAAGGAGGCCGGCTGCTGCACTCATTCGCAGGAAATCTCATCTCCCCCAGAGCTGGTGTCCATGTGATAGTTCATGTCACAAAACTGCCAACTCGTAAATGCAGACTCAGATCAAGTGAACAAAAGCCAACTCACCGACTATAAACTCTCTGATTATCAGAAAAATAACTACCCAAGATGTATCCAAATGAGAAAATTACTGGTTTGAGAGCATATTTTTGGCTGCAGGAAAGAAAAAAAAAAACTAAAAAAAATCAATATGTAACATTCACTTCAATAGTACAGAAAAGCAGGAAGAATTAAAGCTCTTACCTGAACTTCCAGCACATTTAAAGTAGAGTACGTGAGAAATCATTAACGAAAAATAACCAATCTGTCAAGTTCCCGTCAGGCCAAAGTGATCCTTGACTGTTCTAGTATACCAATAAGCTATTTTTAGCCCAAAGTACCAACCTTTTAAGTGGAGTGGTGGTGAACCCAGTAGGAATCCTCCCAAGATCTAACCATGAGATAGTCCCCTTTCTAATGGACACAAACCTCCCAATTTCCTCTCTACAGATCACTTTTAAAGCCTTATTTTTTCCTTTAATAGAAGGTGTTCCCATAGGCTCTTCACTTTCCTCTTTTGGAAGACAGCAAGATGACACACTCTTTGAGACATCAGCCCGGCTTACTGAGTGTCAAGAAGGAAGCAAAGTCTCTTACAAATCTGTGTACTTCGGGCAAGAAGGAATATCCTAGTCAATGTTCAAGGGGAGAAAACTCAGAAAATGAGATGTCCAACGACCTTTGGTAGTCTGACACTGGTGAACCGTACAGGGTGAAAGAAGGTGTTTTGTGTGCACTCATTCTTAGCAGTGAGGCCAGAGCACAACCTCTACTGTTGGCATGGCCATACTCAGACTACGAAAAGCTCAACTAGCATGACAAGAGGCCAAGAATTACTTTAATTTTGTTTTTTTTTTTTTAAAAAAAACATTTAAATGCAACACAACCATAAAATTGGTACATCACAGAAACAAAGGTCATTGCAGGCAATACTGATTGGAAATAGCAAAACACTTGGCTGGTGCAAAAAATGAAACTCTAAATTATATACAATCATAGCTAAGGGTGGTATTGAAAAACAGTCTTCCTTACTGTGATTCAAGACTTAACTTTCCATTATCTATTGCTTATTTATTCAAGGTTGTAAATAACACTTATATAGAGACAGAGATGTGTAAAAATGAAACATTGTGAAAAAAATACAATTTTCCCATTTCGTATGAAACTCAAAAGTGTAAGTTTTGTCCAATATGGAATGTACCTACATTTGTTTATATTAGGGCTCTAAAATCCATGTAAAAATCTTTTTTATTAAAAAAAAAAGAGAGAGAGAACAGCTGACCCACCATGCAAGTTTGCTGTATCTCTTGCTTGCTCAAAAAGTGAGCATTTCAGGTGAGGTCTGGGTTTTTTTTTCTGCCCAGAGTTTGTTATGACCGACTCCTTAGAAGTTGTACTGGCCCAGTTATGGAAACAGTTTCCATGAAGAGTCTGCTGGCAGCATCTGGATGAGGGCTGGTCTAGGGTAATGGTAGGTGAGTAGACAGGAGGGAGGTAAGAGCCCGAATCCTTATGAAGGATGGATGACACTCAGTTGTTAAACTTTAAGGGATATCCAATGGCTTTTTCCAGGCACTCAACTAGAGAGCCGGCAGAAAGAAAATCCCTCTCTACTTCTACAAATTTGATATAGATAGATTTAGGGGAAACTCCAGGATCTACAATACAGTTCTGGGACAAAAACCCATTGATACCAACCCAATCTTTGCTGAAGGTTTTGGTATTTGCTTGGAAATGTAAAAATAAACACTGCTGCAGAGTCCTGACCTCAGCAATCCCGAGGTAGCAATAGGTGATGCGGGTGGGTTCTATTTCCACCTGTAACGAGGCTTGTGTGGAAAGCGTTTCCAGGTCAACTCGGCCCTCTTTTCCTGGGTCCAGAGAACGCCGCTCCACGTGAGGCGAGAGGGGCCTCTCAATACATTCTTCATAGCCAATGGCATAAAGGCCAGGGCTTTTAGGGATGCCCCCTGGCAATAAATACTGAACAACGTTCCCACCAGTTGGTTTGGAGTGGGCAATGGGTATCCAGTCAATTTCCATGTGTAGCTCCAGGCACCTGGCTTCACTAATAGTGATCTCTAAAAATTTGTAGTAAACATTTTTCCAGTTCATTTTCTGCACTCGGGTCATAATAATCCGTCCCTCAGGCTTCTCAGAGTTGAAATATTCCCGAAGTCGCTTGCCCAGGGGCACCTGGGAGCTGATCTCAGCATAATGATAACGGATCTCCTCTTTCCAGCGTGTGTTATAACCAATTCCAAAAATGGCAAGTTTATTGGAAAGATGGAGCCTCGAAAAGTCTGTCCAGCTCTGAAACAGTTCCCATTTCAACTGTACTGATTCCAAAATCTGTACAATGTTCTGCATAATGTCTCTTTTCCTAGAAAGAGAAACAAGAGTCAAATTCTTCAGGTGTTGAGAACAGCACTGTTCAGAAAATCACGGAAATGCCTGAAGTCTTTCATTACAACTCAGAGCACAGCTGACGGACGGGAGCCCCAACCACCCAGGGGTGAGAGATGAAGTGATCAGAAAAGCATTTCCTGTCACTTAAAATAATTAACAGCTTTCTGAAAATTCAGTAATTTTGGCTCATACATATATACTTCATGAAGTCTACAACTGATTATTGGCTAATGACTTGACACAGAAACAAAATGAATTGAAATTAACTACACAGATTCAAGATCTGAGAAAGTGTCGAAAAATCAGTTGATAGGGTGACTTTTCCTTGCGGATCAAGGATTCTGCGTTGTACTAGCTAGTTCTCTACTGAGAGAAAATGGCCCAAGGCCACCGTCAGAACTCTAAGCCATTAACACTAGGCAGATATTTCAAAAAAAGAAAAGAAAAAGAAAAAGGAAAAATAACAAGCAGTTCTAAAGAAACTGTCACACTGGAAAACAAGGACCATTTTCAGATTCTTTTTTTTTTTTTTAAAGATTTATTTATTTTTATTGGAAAGGAGGACATACGGAGAGGAAAGATAGAGAGAAGGATATTCCATTCAATGGTTCACTCCCCAAGCATCCGCAATGGCCAGAGCTGAGCCAATCCAAAGCCAGGAGCCTCCTGTGGGTCTCCCACACAGGTGCAGGGTCCCAAAGCTTTGGGCCGTCCTCAACTGCTGTCCCAGGCCACAAGCAGAGAGCTGGATGGGAAGAAGGGCCACCGGGATCAGAACCGGTGCCCATATTGGATCCCAGGGCGTTCAAGGTGAGGACCTTAACCGTTGTGCTATCACGCCGGGCCCCATCTTCAGATTCCTGTCCTCTAAGATGAAACCTGGAGAACAGGCAGCACGGCCTAGAGGTTTTCACAGATATTGTCTGCTTCCTGCACTGCTCATCTCAGTCTAAATCTGGGTTTAAGACTCAGCGTGGAGGGGTAGTACTCCTCCCACAACAGAGTACCTGGGTTTCATCCCAGCTCTGGTTCCTGACTCCATATTCCGGCTAATGCTTGGGAGGCAATGGTGATGGCTCAAATAACTGGGTCTCCGCCACTAGACGTGAGTAGCATCTGGCTTCCAGCCATGACCTGCCCCAGCCGCAGCTACTGTGGTCATGACCCCAGCAGAATTGAGATTTCTCCCTCCCCCACCCACCACTGTCTTGATCTCTCTCAAACAGATTACTATTTAAAGTTACAGTGAGAACTAGATTTAAATGTAAAATTTAAAGCACAATGAGAACTAGATCCAATTATTGAAACATCCCTAAGAACTATATCTATTTCCTCTGATGTAATATTTAAAGATTTATTTGAAAGGCAGTTACGGAGGGAAAGAGACTTCCATCCACTGTTTCACTCCCCAAATGGCTGGAATGGCAGGGAGTGGGCCAGGCACAACCCAAGAAGCAAGCACTTAGGCCACTGGATCTGAAGTGGAACTGCGGAGCATCTGGAACTCAATCTGATGCAGTACAGGATGCAGGTGGCTTACCACACTGCACTGGACCACTACCTCAATGTCCTGGTTTTCAAATTTCAACCACGAGAAAAAGTTCAAGTGGCTTAAGGTCAGTGACTACAATTCTGGCAAATCTGAACCAGTTCCTGCATGGTCACATTAACAGGGCCACTGCAGTAGCTAGAGGAGAATCAGGTCTTTCAATGAAAGCACCTGTGGCTTTTTTCCCCAGAGATCTGAAAGAAATGGATTGGTAATAACTGGTGTTAAAAACAGAATTCAATTTCCTTTCCTTTGGCACACTGACGTCATTCTGATGTCATAATCTTAAAAGATAATAACTTTCCAACAAAAGTTGTCCGGAAGTCTACTGATCTGGATCATAAACTCCAGAACAGGGTAATGACTACAATTTTTAACTCCTCATTCCTGAACTCTTACCAAAAGATATTATGAGAGGGAAACGAGAACACACAAGGGTAGTGGCGATGGTGATTTCTTGAATGGAAATAACTGGGAGTCTTCCTTGTATATTTTGTTACCTATCACAGGCCTCTCAGCCTTTTTCCCATCATCTCTAAAATACCAACCACATGTGTGGCCTGACGCATACAGCTACGAGGGGGTAACCAGGCATTCCCTACTTGCCTAGTGGATTTAGCCAGCTCAATTAAAGCCATTCAAAAGGAACCCCTAACACAACTTTGAGAGCTATGATGTCGTTAGAGGTGGAAATGACGCAGAGTCTCAGGGGACCCTGTCCTGGACCTGCTTAGTCATTCCTCCAGCGTGTGCAAACAGGTCACCTCAGAGCTTGCATTCCGATTCTCATAATGTGGCACCAAAAGGAAGGCAAGTGTGCCTTGGGCCGTTCTATCATCTCACCTAAACCCAGGTAAGCTCAAATTCCTGGGAATCACCCTTGAGCCTTATTTAATGCACCAGATATCCACATCCACACACAAGCTAACACCACCAACACACCTGTTTTGTGTAACATGTTTATTTGCTTGCTATATACAAAATTCCAGATAACCTATGGAGAAGGCAAGTCAATGAGAGGTGCTTCCTTGGTGCTATGGCTAGGACTTCCACAGCACATCTAGTTACTTTCTGATCCTGTCCCTATGCATTAAGCTCAGCCAGATACCTCTTAGCAGAAATGCGAAGCAGCTACTTACTGTGCTTCTTCAGAAGATTCTTGTTTTATTTTTAATGTTCTCTTTGTAACAGGTATTTCATCTGAAAAGCAAAGATATGAAACAAATTATGTTTTTCACATTGTGGCAGACACTTACACACAGATAAAAAGCTATATTAACTGATCATTCCATGTTTTCAACGCCAGGCCTCCATTCTGGTGTCCAACACTACCCAATGACAGATTCATAAATTTCATTCGGTCTTACATAATGAGATGCATACATTTGTATGCAAGATCAGAAACCAGCTCTACAAGTATAAAATTCTTCAAGGTCACCAGCGGATTTCTGGCTAGGAGCTTAAAGTTTAATTTCACTGCAAACATGATTTTAAAAGGACAAGAATGGAAATAATTCTGTTCAATTTGGATTTTCAGTGTAGGTTTTACAGAGCAATTATTCCCTCAATATCAGGATCAACATATTCTGCATGTTATTTTTTCCCCCAAAGGTTTGTGTAATTTAACTCTATGGTAAAACCACTGTTTTAGGATGCCAGAGTAATTCAGACCTTATCACTATTCTGAGATTAAGATGTGATCATTTGGCACCTATATTTTTTATTCTTCTATGTTAAAGTTCCTCTCCTACATACTGTTATTTTCTTAGCCTCTTTTTTCCTCTCTCCTAATAGTTTAAATAAAGATTTTTTTTTATCTGAGAGGCAGATTTAGAGGACAGACAGAGAGATATCTTCTATCAGAATCTTCCATCTTGTTCATTCTTCAGATGGCCACAATTAGGCCAGAGCTGAGCTGATCCTAAGCCAGGAACTTCTCCCAGGTCTTCCATGTGGGTGCAAGTGACCAAGGGCTTGAACCATCCTCCATTGCTTTCCTGTGCCATAGGCAGGGAGAGCTGGGTTGAAGTAGAGCAGCCAAAACTTGAACTGTGGCCCATATGAGATGCCAACATTGAAGGTGGAGGATTAGTGTGAAAAGCCACTGCACCAGCCCCATGATTTTTAACATTTAATCCTTGACCAGTGTTGTGGCATAGCCGGTAAAGCCACTGCCTGTGACATAAGCAGCCTATGTGAACACAGGATCATGTTCCAATTGCTTCACTTCCAACCCAGTTCTGTGTTAATGGCCTGGATAAAGCATCAGGAAGATGGTCCAAGTACCTGGACCTCTGCCATCCATGTGGGAAACCCAAATGAAGCTAATGGCCATTGTAGATACTTGGAAAGTAAGCCAGTGCATGGAAGCCCACTAAATCCACTGTCTGTCTCTCCCATTCTCTCTGAAATTCTTTCAAATAAATAGTTTTTAAAAATTAGTCCTTTTCTTTTTGAATTAGCATTTCTTTATCATGAGGAATTTTGTTTCTTATGCTATGTAAACACATGGTACTGTCCATACTACTGAGACGCTGCCTGAGTACCGCGCTGGGGAGTAAGAACATTTACTTAGAAGTAATAGTTCATTACACCAGTTGCTGTTGGTGTATAATGGTGCAGCATAAACTTGATTAGTACTTTCAAATTATGAAAATCAAAATGGGAGCGCTTAATGCACAGAAGCTCTTAATTAGGCAGCACAAATGTAGATGTGAGGGGTAGGACTTTCAATTCCCACTTCAAATGCCTGTGACTGTGTATAAGTCACTTCAGCCTGCTGGGATGGGTTCTCTTGGAAAGTCTGAAGAACTGTGATCACTGGCACAATCCAAATAACAGCTGTCTTAAGGATAAATGGGGAATTCCTCTCACTTTCTATTCAGGCTGAATTCTAGGAGGGAACCTTTTCCAAACAACAAACCTTTGAGAAGAAAAACTATTTGGGTTGAAGGAAGGTAGATATTGCTAAGCGTCAGAGCTCTTGGCAGTTATCAGGGAACTGTAAGGTGCAGGGTGTCTAGAACAGCACAGCAATCTCCTATGTGTCTTTAGCAATCTTGCTGGCACCCAAATCACCTAAGGACCAACAGCAAGCACTAGTTGGAAGTCTAAGACATCACATTCTGTTCCCAGAAGACTGCTGGATGCCCTGTGCAGGGAGCATGCAGAGTACCAGAAGACATTCAAGTCTCGGTTTAGACAGAAAGGTGTAACACACACACTCACACTCACACAGCCTGTAAACATTGGTTTTCTTACCCAATTCCTGATCTGTTGGATAGCCATGGAGATCCTGACTGTGGTTTCCCCAGTCCTCCTGTGAATAGTCCTCCATAGTGCTGCCATCTGACTCCAGCTCCTGGTACAAGCCACTACTGTTAATAAGTACAGGCTGGCAGGGCTGAGCATCCCATCCTCCCTGACCAAACACCTGTTCCAACTGTTCAAATGTGTAACTGCTCTTTCTTTTCCCAACACCATGTTCTTTCACCCGACTGTAACACCTGCGAAGGGTCTAAGACACAAAGTCTTTTGTTATTCCTTTAAAGCTGTACTTCCTCTTCCAGATACGGACCACAGATATTAATTACTATTAGACAGACACAGACAAACAAACACAGACACATTGTTACAGGAATGCTACATTTCAAATTCATTATTATATTAGAAAAAATACTAATTTAGCATTTACTCAAACATGTTATAATTCAAACAATTATTTTGCAATTAATTATCCATTAAACAACAAAAAACATAACAACATTATTGCATATACCCCATACACATATTTTAAATACCCCCACCCCCATTTAAAAAGAATAAGGGGCGGGGGGAAAAACAAGAAATACCAGCCAGCCAATAGGATGCACACCTGCCACAGAAGAGAGAGCTGCTATTGTGCCCAGAATTTGGAAAAAGTGAGGGAAGGGAGGACAGAAAGAAGAGTTTCCCAAAGCAAAGGCTACTTTCTTTACTCTTAAGGAGAGATACAGGGTAGAAACTACTGCCTACACAGATTAGCTAGTAAACCAAATCCCTTATGTAACCTAGGTTCCTTCCTAACTTCCTCTGTAAGGAAGCCGCTGAAATGTAATTCAGAAGTCAAGTCAACAATGCCACAGATTCCCAGTCTCAAACATCAATCACCAAGAAACACTACACTAACATCTACCTTTGAGAATTAGACAAGTTCATTCATCTATTCTGCTAAATCACATTGCCAGCTAAACCAACCAGCCAAGGAGGCCAATCCTCTTATGTGGGGGAGGATGAGGTGGAGGGATTTTTTTTTTTTTTTACTTCTTTTTATGCCACTTGGTATACAGCAAATGAATATTATGCAAGTTCACAAAGACTTGAAATACTGCCTTGTACAATTCTTCAATTGTTTTCAAGGCTTATATTTCTAATGCGTATTTCAGCTTATTAGAACAGTTTCCTAAGATTAATGGTGCATATTGCACTGGCATGCATTTCAAAAGGTAAGTTGAAGACTTAGTCCCAGCTTCAAAATTTGTTTGGTTACATGCACTCTCTATCCCATCCATCTCTGCCTCCCTGTGTTCCTTCTAACTTCTCTCTACTTTCCTGGGTTTCATGACAACTAAGACCCCCTCCCCTGGGGATTCCCAAATACTTTCTTACTCAACGAGCAAAATCAGCTCACCTGAGACTTAGTTTACGGGCATTACCCACAACACAAATTTCTAAGTGTAAGATTACTTTCTATAAGCCACATAAGCCACTAAACTTCCCATTCTCACCAAACTAATCTTCATAGAGCTTCTAGGAAAATTTAGGACCCTGAAGCCAGAGGTTGCAAGCTGCAAGACACTCCACCAAACACACGAAAAACCTGTCTCATGAGACCAGAAATCCAGATGAGCAAAAGGAATAAAAGCATGATACATAAGATGATCCTGTTCAGACATGACCAGAGCAATGACTAAGGGTCACCTATCAGCCTGCCTCCTGCACAAGCACCTGTCTCATTCTCTTCTTGGAGAGCTTTTCTAGTGCCTTAGAGAATTAAGTTCCTAAAAACATACTCAATTTTCATTTACAAGTGTTTATTCTTCTCTTTGCAACCACATGAGACAAACTTTCTAGAACAAAACCAGAAACATAAACCCTGGAAATGGGTGTCATGGACAATCCTTCCCCTGGAAGGAGACAAGTGCCTGCAGCAGATCCCATTCGACTTCCTACACACTCTCTCTTTCCCAGCACTTTCTGCCCTTTATGCCGGGATTGGAATTTGAAATCTCAAACATCCCCTGCCAATTTATTTTTATCTCACAATGCCTAGTTTCTGCCTCCAAGAAAACCCCAACCACTCTTCTCAACTCCTCCAAGGACCGTAAATGGAGACTCCCAATCATGTCCCTTTCACCCTTCCAAGGCCATAAATGGAGATGGAAACCTTGCCACTGCTCACTGCTTACTGGCTGCCTAGAGAAAAACATCCACAATACAGAAGAGCCCAGGCAGCTCTGTCACTGAGGGTAATTTCAGAAGCCAAGGATAATGTTCCTTTGAAGAAAGTTACCATACTTATCAAGAAGTGACACAGACATAAGCAAAGCCACCAAATTCTGGCAATACATGTGGTAGAAAATCACAGAAAAAAAAAAAAACTTTGAAACTCTCTGAAATCACCAACTTGAGCTTAAAAATTCACTTGGTTGATATAATTATGTATAATAAAATTAGCAGTGTCTAATGGCTATGGAATGAAAGAACAGGTGCTCTACTGACACCTGTTACTCGTAGTGCACTTTGCAAACACACTTTATGGTGTAGTATGCTGATATATAAAATATCTATCAGGTGCCTGAAGGAAAGATGCTTGGTATCTTCTAAATCCCTATGTCAGGAATTTGATATACTGAATTAATGTTAAAAAGATTTTAACTGATTTTAACTCTTAAAAGATATAAAAATTATAAGAAGGAACTTCTGAGTTGGGAAAAGACGACACATCCTAGGAGAAGTCATTTAAATGGGACACATCAATTAAGACAGGAAAAAAGCAAGAACTTACACAGCAGTTCTACTGTTTACTATGAGAAATGCTAGGGTCTACTTAAACTTGAGGGAGTTTAGAAATGCATAAAAAGGACATACAGAGACCTTCCGACTCTTTGCACCATAATAAACCAGAAAAGGCCAAACATTTCATAGTCTAAATGACTAATCAAAGCAAGTAATTAAAAATTTGTATGTCTGTGTCGTCTCAAAGCAACCAAATTTAAAACCTACGCTGAGATTACAGTAATTCAGAACCTACAAAAAACAAAATCTCAGCTTCCATTTCAGATAACTACCAATCCAGCACGAACCTCAATTTGGCTTTCTGAGAGAACATGTACTATTCAACACAAAAACTGCTCCTCCTTCTCCTTCCTTTACCTCATTGACTTGGCAAGTTGACAGTAACTTAAGCTCCAAGAGATTTCTGAAATCTAAGAAGTGGGAGGTGGCAAGAACTGGCTGAAATTACTAAAGACTATACTAGTCACAATTAAAATAACAAATTTGGGGGTAGGTGTGATAGCTCAACTGGCTAATCCTCCACCTGCACAAATGCCAGCATCCTTTATGGACATCAGTTCATTTCCCAACTGCTCCACTTCCCATCCAGCTCCCTGCTTGTAGTCTGGAAAACAGTGGAGGATGCCCAAAATCTTGGGACTCCACACCCATGTGGGAGACCTGGAAGAAGCTCCTGGCTTCGGATCGGTTCAGCTCTGGCTGTTGCAACCACTTGGGGAGTGAACCAGCAGATGGGAAGATCTTTGTAAATCTGTCTTTCCAATAAAAATAAACAAATCTTATTAAAAACATTTCCCCAGTAAACTGAAACTGTTTTTGGCTCCACCCTGGAGGCAGAACTGTAATAATAACATCGTATCTCAGATGAAGCCATAGGGACAGATGTCAGGAGTCAAGAAAATCTGGAAAAAACTAATAGCTTGATCAGGTGGTCAACCCAGAGGCTCATGGGTATTTGATTCAGAGAGGAAATGCCAGCTGAATGCTTACTAAATCCACCATGTCAAGTGGTCAGCAACTACAAAAGGAAAAAAACAGAAACTAAAACAGAGAAAAGACTTGAAAGATGTCCCATTACCAAAGCAGGGAAAAACATAAGATGGCTGACAACTGACAATTTATAGGACAGACTGAAAGTTTTGCCCAAAGTTTAAGATTAGAGTAAAAGGAAATGAGAGTTAAAAGAAGACATTCATTGTGGATGAATGTATGGAGGGGGTCTGTGGGGGCAAAGGGCAGGTAAACAAAAGCAGGAGTTTTAGATTGGCAGGATTGGGGGATTTAACGGCAGCAATGCAGAGAAAGACCCAGGGTTACAGTACACGTAACATTAAATACAGTGCACAATGCAGCTATCTTGCCAAAGTAAGTAAATCCAGTATTGGGTTGTATAAGCAGAGGAATCACATGTAAGCTATCGAGGTGGCTCTTCCTCTCTATTCAGCACCGGTGAGGCCACAGCTGGAGCACAGCATTCAGTTCTGGGCATCGAACCAGCTACAAGAGAGGGAAATTGTAGAGTTCAGAAAAGGGCAAATAAAATAATGAAAGGCTTGGAAAATAAGATCTATAAGCAGGGCCAATGGTTTCACCAAAGCCCTTCCTGACATCATATAAACTACTTTGGTGGTAAAGTTAAGATTTCTTCTCTTTTCCAATCCCTCCTTTGACTTTCCAGAAATGGGAAGAAGTGAATTCTTCCTTGGTTCAGCAAAACAGGGAGCAAACTAAATCGCAGAGGCACATACCAACCAATTGCACTAATGGTTCAATAATTTTCAGAAATTTTCCCATTTAATACAATCATAAAATAATCACCATGACAAAATTGCTGTTCTAACAGAACTGACCGTAAGTGGAACAGAGCATATAATGAGAAGGAACAGAAATAAGGAATAACAGCTCCACCCATGTGTCGTTTAGGAAACACTGGTTTGATCAGTCTTAGATGTCAGATGAAAACCAGTCCATCTGCAGGGAGGATAGCTTAGTTATAACAGCAGGAAACAATGTTACAAGAAAAAACAGGCAGGGAAATAGGTTTTCAACTGTAGATGTCAAACTGGCCATACTAGAAATGAGCTACATACCTTAGCCCAACCCTGTCAACTAATTCGATGAACACGCGATTTCCTTTGACACAAGTTGTTAAATAACGAATGCACTTATCCACAAACAAAGCCTTTCTCAGAAAAGCATTAGAAACAATACTTCAGGCTAAAGCAGGTGTGTATTTTAAAGCAAAGTGTGAAATAGATCTTTTCTTTCTTCTTTAAAGTTACTTTCACTGTAATAACTATAACTAGCTGCTGTTATCACATGAGGAAACAAAACTAACTTTAATGTTATATAAGGATGTTTAAGACAAGATTTTCCTTTATTAACTATATTTTGTTGCTGTGAGCATAAAATAAGAAACAGACAGCAGACATAAGTGAGTGAACACATTCTGTGTACACT